GGGTTCTGTATCCACCATTCGAACAACCCTTCGTTGTAATTTTTCAGGAATTTTGCTCTTCTGTCCACGTCCAAGGAGGTTAGCTACAGTGCCATGGGCTGTAAACCTCTTGATGATATTGCGCACAGTGGACACAGGAACATTATGATCTCTGGAGATGAACTTGTAGCCTTGAGATTGTTGATGTTTTTCTACAATTTATTCTCTCAAATCCACAGGAAATTCTTTACACTTCATTCTTTTCTCCATGCTAGTGTCACAAGGTTGAGTCAACTTTTCTACATCTTAAATAGTTGCAAGTGTGATTATTATATTGCCCACACCTCTTACTTGCGACAGGTATGTCTAAATACAAATTATAGGAGCATCACATGCTTGAAAAGCAATTATTTCTTACAATTTAGACAGGGTGCCAATAATTTTGGCCAGTGCATTTTTGGGTTTCTGTGTGGGATTGTATCAGATTTGACTTTTCTTCTCTTTTTTATGTTGTTCCAACGCAAACCAAAGAAATGAACATGTGAGTACCAAAACATTTGCAACTGCAACAATTTTCTGAGAGAAGGGTTGCATTTTCTGACAGAATTGCAAGGGTGCCAATATTTTTGGCCATGACTGTAGCCATAGCAGATGGAAGCATATATGCATTAAGAAGCATACCAAGTTTTAATGGATATGGGGTCCTAGTTTGCATTAGCTGTCCTCTGTTTCTGCAAAATAGTATTTGCCCAGTTTTGCCAAGGGTTTCTGCAACAATTTTTCTGGGGAAGGAGCAAAGCTGCACAGTGGTGTGGTAGCCTAATTCATGTGCATAGCACGCACCACTACAGAACATACAACAATGTACAACATCTGCATATATTAAAACAATGAATAAATTTAGGATTTGAAGGAGTATCCCCTCCTCTGCCGCTGTGGACACTCATGGTTTCGGATTTTTTAAAAAAAATTAAAAAGGGTGGAATGTGAAATTCCACTCTTTGGTCTTAGTAGAGTCCAGTAATCTCCTTTGAAGCATAGAAGAAATAACGACACTGGCTGTCTACTTCAGCACAGGAATCAGATCCTAATGTGAGCAAAGGGCAAAACCCCTACAAGGCGTCCTAGGGTGATGCTCTGAACACCAGTTGCCGTGAAACATGAGTAAGAGACCACTAGTGCCTTTATGCGCATGTGACTGTCCTGTGGCAGCATCTGGTTGGTTGCTAAAGAAAGAAAATGCTGGACTACAGAGAGCTTTTCCCTAATCCATTCATTCTTAATGAATGAAGAATGGCATTTCTTAGCACAACTAGCTGATGTTCTCCATTATAGTTTCCTAGGTGAGTTGTAGCTTTCATTAAGGAACTTTCGCTGAACAACTTTCATTAGGGAAGCTCTGCTGTTGAAATCAACTGCCTCCGCCCCCTGCTGTAGACGTCCACTTACTTATATGGGCAAAGGTGGGGTGATGGATAAGAAATTCTTCAAGAAACCCACTCACCCATTCTCACCAGCATATTTGTAAAATATATATTATTCTTGTGTACAAAAAGACTGCAATCCTAAAAACACTTACTTGGGAGTAAGCTCATTTAACTCAATAGGACCTGTTTTTGAAGAAACATGCATAGGGTTACAGGCAGTATCAGGATCAGGACCTGTGGACTTGTTAACAAGCCAACTTGCTACAATAGGCCTCAACTCTAAGGAGCAGTTGCAGTTACACAAACACAATAAAATGTACTTACTTATAGAAAAAAGCATATTGTTCCTTATAGCTCTTTCTTCCTAATCTTTCGCTGGCCACATAACTGTATTTTTCCCGTGAATGGCTGAAGGAGAAAATGAAACTGATTTCAGTCTAAAGCAGGGGGGTCCAACCTTTCACCTTTCCTGGGCCACATTAGAAGATGAAAATTTGGTTTGGGCCGCATGGGGGGGGCAGCCCTAACCGTCCTCCACAGCCCCGCTCCAAGCGCGCTTACCGGCAGCTGTGATCTCAGACAGCAGAGGCTACCAGCTTCGACTCCGGTGGCTTTATGGGGCTGGGAGGGGGGCCACCTATTGACGGGGCCGGTGCGATGCAGTCACGCAGCACCCCTCTCCCCTCCCCTCCCACTCCTTAATTCCTTCCTTCCCTCTCTCCCCCTCTACTGTTGTGACATGCCCCGGCCGCATTCTGGCCACCAGCGCCGGCAGTGTAACTTCCGCATGCGAAATTACATTTAAATACACTGGGCCACATTACGAGCTGACCTGGGCCGCATGCGACCCTCGGGCCGCGGGTTGGACAAGCCTGGTCTAAAGCATAGCTCTGTTTTTGCGTTTCCTTTCCTTCCCCCCCCCTTTTTTTGGAAGAAATAATATGTCTAAAAGAGAAGACTCACCAGTACTTAACAGTTTTCAAAGAAGTAACTGTGCTAGTCTATGGAAACATATTGGACAAAAACAAACAAACAAACCAAAAAAACAAGCATATTGGACAAAAAAAAAAAACCAAACAAACCAAAAAAACAAAAACAAAACCCACACACATTTTGAAGATGTACTATTATATTTTAATTTAAGTTTTTCTTGATCAATTCTGCTTCCTTAAAATGAATGGAAATGGACTCGACTTATGAAAGCTTACATTTATTAAGTTGCCACAACATTTTGTCTTTTAATTTTGTTTTTGTTAGCAATACTGTTAGTGCATCTGGTTTTGATATTTGAAGAAATGGTTCACTGCTTAGTTAGCTCAGCATATTTCCCTATCTGCAGTGTGCATAATTTCAAGTACTGTACAGACAAATAGATACCATGCAACTTTTAGGTCCCATAAGCCAGAGCTAGCATGGCCCATGATAAGCAATTTTGAAATTTTGAGAGTTGTTGCTTAAAACACTTGTACAGCATCAAAATGCCTCCCTCTAGAATACAATTTTGTACATAACTGTGAGCATGAATGTGTATACACATGCAAGTGTTCACGTGTATGCACACACACACACACACACACACACACACACACACACACACACACACACACACACACACACACACACAGCGAGCGCGCACTGTGGGGCCATAACACACAGCAAGCGAGCACTGTTGGGCCCTAAACTCCAGCAAGGGGGCTATTGGCCCTGATCCCCTGTCTTGTCTTCACTGTTTCTGCTTTACCCTTGTCCTTTTCAAGGGCTTGAGCCATGCCAGTAGCCACAGAGAAGAGAAGACAAAGGACCTTCTGCTTGCTTTGATCTCTTCCTTAGAGCTATGTTCAGGATTAAACCCAGAAGGGAAGTTTAAGCAAGTGGGTAGAGTCGATGTTGGCAAGAAGGTGCCCATTATGAAAAGTGCATTATGAAAAATGCATAGAGGGCATTTAGCCGAAGGTGAGACTGTGCATTTTAATAAAATTAAATTATGCATCTTACCTATTCAGTTTTTCTAACAGGAAGGGGCACATTCTGTTGCTGTTGTCCTTTATTTCCATTAGCAGCATGACATCACAGCGAGACATGATCTGCAGGAGTATACAAACTGTCTCATTTGATGGATTTGAAAATGCTAAAGCACTTGACTAATCCAGGCTTTGCTTACCCCAAGATACCTTCATCCATTAAAAATGATGGACTTGAGAATTCTGATCTTACAGCAACCTTATCTGTGACCTGCTGTGTTAGTGAGAAGGCTGCCGTAACACTGTTTGAGACTAACAGAGTTATTTACAGATATATTTTGCAGATATATTTTCCAGATTTTCCAGATATATTTTGCTTTATGTATTCTAGGATCCCAAATGCAGCAACATTAGCTGAGCTGCTATTTGATGTACCAGTGTGTATGGTTTTCATTTGAATTGTGAAATCTCTAAGAAGCCTGAAGTTGATCCATGAGCTCTCTTTCTATATGGCATCTGTTTTCACCCTAATGATTTTTTTGTTATTTTTGTACAGGAAAGTAAAAAAGGTCCAGTCCCCATTCAGAGGTGAAATCTTGTTTCCTTCTGCAAAGTCGTTCTATGGAAACTATTAGTGCCTGGGGGTGGGTGGGGACTTTGAATGGTAAGAATTCACTCTATAAACCTCTGGTAATAAAGGACCATATTTATGCCTCTTGTTCTAAACATACTTGTGTGACTTTTTACCAAAACAAAGACTCACAGGTAAATCAGAATAGTATAATAGTATTCGAATCTCCACAGAAGGGTTGGGTATAGGTGCTATATAGAAGGGAAAAACTGGTTATAGATTATAAATACTGGAAGAAGATCCTTCCACTAAAGGGAAGATGTCTAAGACGATGCCAAAGTGCTGTGTTACTGAAACATCTAAACTAGCTTAAGGCCCATGTATAAGATCATAATTGGGCGCTCTCTGCTAACTGAGAATAGTAGACACCCTCTGTCACCTTGCAAAGGCAACCCCTACATAGATTGTGTTACAGTAATCCAGCCAGGATGTAGCGCTAAGGCACATGTCACTGTGGCCAGATCGGACTGCTCAAGGAATAGGCACAGCTGGTGCACTAGTTTTAACTGTGCGAAGGCACTCCTGGCCACCATCAAAAGAGTGCCTACAAGTCCTATCCGAGAGAGACAGGCCAGAAGAGGATACCATAGTTGAGGGTATCAAAAGGCGCTGAGAGCCACACTCCCCGTGTCGGGCTGCTGGCTGGCATAGGTCATCCACCAAGACAGCCAAAGCAGTCTCAGCCCCAGAACCAGGCCTGAAGCCACACTGAAACGAATCTAGATAGTCCGTCTCCTCCAGGAATCCCTAGAGCTGAGAAATCACAAGTCAGTAGAAACTCAGGTCATTCACTTCTTAGCAACAGATCTTAATGGATGACTGTCTTGTTCTCTCTCATTATCTCTCGATTTATTTTATCTCCTAGATGGTCAAAACGATAAAAACTGGTTTATTGCTGTTCCTGTGGCTGCTTTATCATTATGTATATGTGTCTGCAATTTTATTTATACGCCTGTTGCATTTTATAATTTCATTGTATCATTGTTTCATTTTGCGCCTGGAAGTCATCTTGTGAACAAAATTTTTGAAAGAGGTAGAAATGATTAAAGTAACAGTGATTGGTATCCAGTTACCTAGGAGTAAGACCTGTTCTGGCCTTGTTTGTGAACAGAGGTACAAATAAAATAGAAACAACGGTAAGTGGTAGGTGAGGGATACATGTTGTTTGCCTTTAGACCTTGTGGGAGGAAGAACAGGAGAAAAGACAAAAAGAATACAGATTAAGAAATGAAGAATGTGTTTCTTTTGCTTTAGTTTGCAATATGAAGTTCAATCTGAAGCTGACTATGACCTTCAGCTTCAGAAAATGGCCTTGATAGAATAAGAACATGGTAAAAACTCAGTAGGAGAGCATAAGTTTTTTTTCATTCCTAGGTTCAATACATGGCATCTTCAGGTCAGTATGGTAAGATCCCTGCTCAAAAGTCTAGAAAATCAGTCAGTGTAAGTAAACAACTGTGAGCTAGACTGACCAGTGGCCTGCCTCTTCTATCCCTCAGTCTAAAAAGTAAAGCAAAGAATCAATCAATTATTCCGTGCTCTTGAATCTAGAACTGATAGTGACAGGAGATCTATACAAGCATTTTAAGTGCCATCTTGAGTTCCGTCTGCACTTGTCGTGTAAAATGGCTCCAAATAGAGCTTACTGCAATGTGAAGATAGTAATGTCTCCTTCTTGCTGAAATGCATCAGATGCACAGGCTGTTGAATGGCACTCAACTAATTAAAGTCCCTGCATCCTTGGAGACTGTTAATCATACTTTCATTGTGGTCTGCATTTGCTCAGCTTGTCTTGTGATGATAAGTTCTTCTTAATGAGGCCTGAGTACTCTTTGATTAAGACAATTAAAATGCCAGCAAAATGAAGGAACATCTGATGAGACGGCTGCTAAGAGAACATCCACCCCCCCATGTCCACATCAAATACTATAATCATTTATCAGGTATATTTGCAACAGCATTCATATTGTGCTCTGCTAGATCCAGTGCGCAAGTAAACCTTGCTGAACACAAATCTGCAAATGGATTTTTGTGCTCTTTGAGACACAGTTCACTAACCTAGAACTCACCTGTGTAAAGTTCAAATGCCCTGAAAGAGGGGAAAAAAAGTCCCATCCTCCTGCTGTATATTTCTTTAATTCTGGAGGATGAACAACATACCTCTACAATGATGTCCAAAATTTCTGGTCTTGTTCTCTTAGCTTCTCCAAATGACCTCACATTAAAAGAGCAGATTTTTAGGCCAAAAGCTGCATGAAGAAAGAAGAGCAGAAACAGAGAGGCACGCAACATCCTTCCAGCTGGGCCCAAAGTAAATGCAGCGAAGTATATGTCTCTCCTTCAGCATTCAGCTATGCCAAAACTCCCTGGTGAATTGGACTGTTATATACTTCATGACCACTATGCAAATTATGAAACTTTTCACCAGCTTCCTCCACAGTCCATTCATTTCTTTATTTGGCAACTAACATCTGTTGTTGAGGAACTTGACATTCTGCCTCGGAGAATTACTTAAAATTTGAGCCAACTTCAACAATTGACTCTGTCCCATCTGAACCTCATAATAGGATACAGCTTGGATTACGTATGGCAGCAGCGCGCAGCCATGTCTGATCTGTTCACACATAAGTGGGAAAAGCCCTGATTTTTGGAGTAAAAAGGGGGGCATAGCTAAAGGACCTGGCTCACCAGTCCTTTCTGCTGATGGTGCTCTAGGACTGAGGCTACGCAGATTAAGACAGCAGGGATCCCTGGCCTCATAGCCAGGTGCTCCAGCACACTGAAGTATCCAGCCAGGTAATTTTCCTCTAGCCAGCATCATTTTGGGGGTTGCAGGTCCCACCTGGGGTGGAGGGGGAGCGACACAGAACAAAAGGACCATCTAGCCCAATATTCTGGCAGCGTACTCTCAGGTCTCAGAAGGTGTCTTTTCTGTTGCCAATTCTCTGGGATCTTTGTAACTGGAATTGTGAGGACTATACTGTATCTGGAGTCTTTTAGATGCAAACATTGTGTTTTACCACAGAGCTATGACTCTCTCACACATTTACACCTGCACATGTCTGCAAAAGCAGCCCAGAAAAGTTCCTTTTTCAAAATTAACATTCTCACAATGCCCCAGCACCACGGCTATGCCGGCCACAGGATTTGGAGAACTGTAAATAGTTCATTTTGCAGCTGCCTCCACATGACCCTAACCCACCTCTTTCTTGTTTCTAGCTGAACAACCTTCTTCCTACCAAACCTAAAATGGAGAAATATTAGACAAAAGCAGAAACAGAGACTGATGAAGACAAAGCTGGTTCTTTCCTAATATTGGTTGGTTCATGAGACTAAAATACAGAACTACGTCTTTTGATTTCAGTTTGTGGGATATCAAAGTCAACATCTCTCTCCTCCCGCTTCCCCTCTGAGAGGCTCTTCATCTTTAAAGTTATATGGCAAGCAATCATAGTATGGTCTTCTCAGGAGTAGGTAATCCTTCAGGCAGAGAGAAATGGCCACCGCAGGCAGCCGGGCACCAGGAGTGGTGAATTGTGCCACACACACCATGGGAGGGCCCGTGTTGCTGCCAGCATCACTGCTGTCTCATTCTCTAGAGCGAGCCAAGGTTCTCAAATGCCTGGCGTTGGTGGTTTCTTGGAGCCACACATTTTGGGCAGGGTGCCCTTGGGAACCATCTGTTCTACCAAAGTCTGGCTGGCTCTGAGGAAGAAGTCTGGAACATTGACGTCACTGCTTTCTTGTTTAAGTGCTCCTTGTTAACATTTGAGGGCTAAGAGGAACTGAAAGAAATAAGGCAGCTACTGATTTGGGGTGTGTGTGTGTAATATGTATGAAAATGGAAAATAGGAGCTGAGTTTTTTAATGGGGAAAAGGCCAGTGAAGATTCACAAAATGGGCATGTCCAGTTCTTGCTCCTAAACTCAGATGCATTCCTGCCGGGATATTGCCAGGCAAGTCAACTGCACTGTGTTTGCTGCTGTTCTCTAACCTCCTACTTCCCTGTCTTCAAGGGGACCAGAATAATAGCTAGCTGGCTTCTCAATTAGCATTGCCTGTTCCTCTTGGAAATCCCATTTCTCATTTCCTGTTTCTGCTGTGAGTTCCCCATGCAGCCTTGGGTTCTTCCCACAATGCTGGTTGTTAAGACAAAGAGAAAGATTGTCATGAGTGAAAAAATATTTGCAGAGCCCACGTAAGACTTCCAAGACATCCCCATGGTTCAATAGGCCTATTCTAATGACAGTGGGTTCATTGAGATTCACTGGTGGAAAAACAGTATAACAACAACAACAACACATATATACATATATACATATATACATACATACCCTCTATGGGCACGGGCCTTGTCGAGGCGGAGGGGCTTGTATGCTTCATTGAGGTTGAGAGCTATGCTGAAGGGTCTCCCGAGCCAGACTAACTGTTTCCACCAACCATCAATTATGATGGGAGGAAATAAACAGAAATCCATACTAGATCAGTCATTGCATGGGTCAGCAAGGACTGCATCAGATGCCATAGCCCCTGGGCATCTGGTGACAAATGGGCTACATGGTTCGGCAGACCCTGCTGAGGAACCAGGACAGGCTGCTGCAAAGCTACTGGAACAACGTAAACACAAAACTTGGATTCTCACCAAAAATTGAGAAATTATTAAATGTTATTACAAGGCAAATCCAATAGCCCCTGGTTAAAAAAAAGGATGAAAATTTGGAAAAGGGAACACTCCGATAGTGACATAACTGAACAACAGTTCATGGACTAGAGAAGGTTTATCATCCGGAGTAAAGTGTTTTCAGAACTGGATTTGCAAGACCTAGAAAAGGTGGCAAAATCAACACTGAACAATGACCATAATATGGAAGAGAAATGGAGGGTAGAGGTAGACACAGTAGTGGAAGAAAATGTATGAACTTGGAGTAGAAAAAAATAGAGGAACAATTTATGGAATAACCCAGAAATTATGAGGTGACAGAATGGCAAACATCACTGAGGGAAAAAGTAGTAACCCATATTAGCCAGAACACAGAAAGACAAAGGCTCTCCAATTTGCACCATTTACAAAGTAAACCAATAAAAGATCTAGTGAATGATGCAAATGTTGTCATCAGAACAATCCCAACCAACATGCTAAAGGAAACAAACCAGCTCATTTATACCACAGCTACCATTATAACCATGGAACTTGGTTACAAGCTGGAAAAAACTCATGGCACTCTAAAATGGAAAAATTCAACTTGAAAGAAAAATAAACAAACTATGTACAGATATGAGCAACTTAAAACACTTGAAAAATTAAAAACTTAAAAATGAAAAAGTAAAATCCAGACTACGCAAAATATATGACCTAGAAATGAAAACAATTGTTGAAACTATGGAAGAATTAAAACAGTGGGCAACAGCTACAGCAAAGAAAATTGAAAGATATGATGGACACTTGAAACAATACAGAGAAAACACACAAGTTTGAAATAACCAATGATTATTCTATACATCAGTAGGAGAAAATGCACAGCAAAAGAAATTAGGCCCACATAAAGATGTTGCTCTAAAATTTTGGAAAGAAATGTGGGAAAGCCCAACCAGACATAACAGAAATGCCTCGTGGATTAAAGACGTTTGTAAGGAAACTCAAGAAAAACAAATGGATGATATTATAACAACGGAAATGATTAAGAGGCAATTAAAAGCTGTGCAAAATTGGAGTGCACCTGGTCCAAATGAGCTGCATGGATTTTAGTTAAAGCATCTAACAAGTCTCCGTCGACATATAGCAGTGCAATTTAGCCACTTATTTCAAAATTCTACAACTGAAGTCTGGGTGACAACAGGCCGCACATTTAATAAAAGCTCATCAAAAGGGCAATGACCCCAGTAATTATCGACCAATTACACACCTTCCAACAATGCTCAAGCTCCTCACCAGAGTACTTGCAAGATCAATATATAATTACTTAACTGAAAACTCCCTATACCCAAATGAACAGAAAAGGAACTTTAAAAAAATCAAGAGGCACAAAAGCACAGCTGCTTATTGATAAAATGATACTGAAGAATGCAAAAAGATGAAAAACAAACCTTAATATGGACTGGATGGATTATGAAAAGAAATTTAACTCATTGGCACACAGCTGGATTAGCACCTGCCTAAAAATGTTTGGGATTAGTAAAAACATTCAGAGGCTCTTCAATTAAAACATGAAAATATGGGAAACTGTCTTAATGGCCCATGGTGAAGAGATCAGGCAAGTTAGCATCAAAAGAGGAATATTTCAGGGGGATTCTTTGTCACCATTGCTGTGTAACATCTCACTAATCCCCATGTCAATAATTTTAAATAAAACTGGATTGGGCTACCATATTTCACAACAAGCAGGAAAAATCAATAATCTGTTATATATGGATGACTAAAAATATGTGCAAAAGTTCCACGATGATAGAACCACTGCTAAACACAGCGCAAATATTTAATGAATAGATGCAAATGAAATTTGGAATTCACAAATGTGCAGCTCCGTTTATACACTGTGGCAAGATCTAAAACCTAGATTTTATGCCAATAAAGGTTGCTTTGCTTTGCAAACCTAGATAAGATAGAGTTAAAAATGGCATTATTATAAAATCACTATCAAGTGATGAAAATTTTAAGTACCTTGGAATACTAGAAGCAGATAAAGAACTGACAGAAAGGGAATATACAAAAAGACTGCAGAAAAACCAAATTAAATGGTTGAAACACAATCAAACCCTAACTATATGGACAGTTCCAGTAAATAGATACCCAGCTGGAATAATAGAATGGACTCAAAAATAAATTAAAAGAATTGGATCAAAAAAAGGGAAACTAATGAACACGCATCACACACTATATCCAAAAAGGTATGTGGACAGATTATATTTACCCTGAAAAATTGAAGGCAGAGAATTACTGCCAAAACAGCATATATATAGTAGAGGAGGAAAAAAAAGAAGCCTAGATGATTATATCAGTACAAGCAGAGAAAAATTACTTAAGGCAGTGAAAATGGAAAATATTTTGAAAACAACAGAAATAAAGGCTCAATATAAGAGACAACAATTTGAAAATAAATTAAACAGCTGGAAAAAATAAACCACTACATGGACAACATCTGAGAAATACTGATGGAAAGCATGATCATAATTCAACATGGGCATGGCTAAAATTTCTTAACAAAAAACCGAAGGCTTGATTTTTCTTGCACAAGAACAAGCACTATAAACCAACATGATGAAAGCTAAGATCCAAGGAATTAGTGCTGACAGCAAATGTCAATTCTGTCAAGAAAAAGATAAAAGTGTGTCACACCTCATCTATG